GTGTGTGTGTGTGTGTGTGTGTGTGTGTGTGTGTGTGTGTGTGTATGTGTGCGTGGTGGGTTAGTAGTGCCACAAGTCTCTGCGGAGTGCCTAAATTGAATATCATCCAGGCTCAAATTAATGTCTTCAGCACAAACTTTGCCACTTGAAGCATATTTTGCCTGCCTGACCGCCTCCTGCTAGCATTGCCTGCTCTCAGCTCTCAGCTCTCAGCTTTGCCTCTGCCCGCAGTTCGCTTAGCTGCAGATACTCTAGAGATAGGTACTCTGGAATTTTCATTGACAATGATTTTATTTAGCTACCAAAATTTAAGGTATATATTTACACAGAAATGCTCGAATCGATGTCTTGACTGGTTCCCATACAAACTTATATGAAAATGCTCCAATTCGGCGGTCTCTGAGCGTCGAATAACCATTATATTATATCCATTCTTTATCATATACAGATATATTTGTTTCACTTTCGCAGAGTGCTTATATAAACCTTGAGTAAAATCCCGTAGACAACTCTAACAATAAGGCGCTCTCTTGTCATGTCGTATTATAAATATTTGTGATACGTCATTTGAATATATATAATATAATGACAATATATCAATTTATTCAAAATATTTACAATAATATATTTATCTATATTTTTATTTATTATTTTTATTTATTTATTTTTATTTTTCATGGCAAAAATAAACTATGTTAATTTTTAGCTAAATGCACATTTAAATCAATCTTAACTAGTTATATATTTAACTATGTTGTCAGAGCAGAGTATTAACTATTCGACTCTAGAAGCTTTCTCGTTTTTATTATTCTTTATACTTTCGGTTTTTTTCTTCCTCTTTTCGGCGAGCTGTCCGCACTTTGCAGTTGTTGCTTTTGTTGCTCTTTTGGCACTGCAAACTTTTTTGGCAGTTGCAGCAGCATCTTTGCTGTTGTTGCTCTGTTGCTGTTGTTGTTGTTGTAGCCGTTGATGCTTGGCAAAGTTTGTCTGACCCGCAAATTGAAATGGCCGTAGATTTAGCCTGGTAACGCCGGCATTTTAGCTAATTGCACGCACGGCCGCCGCACTCGGCACTCGTCGGCCAGTGATTTGATTTTGTGCCCCATTCGGGATAATGGCACGCGTTGTACCGTAAACCACGGTGCGTTATGCATCCCCAGAGTACCAGAACGAGACTCGCATTGAGTAAACTAAATATCCCGGCCAACTGCAGGAACACCCTCCTGCTGTGCGTGTTATTAATTCGAGGCAATCTATTAAAAATGTAAAATGCATGAGCTACAAAGACAATTGCAGTCGGAACTACTTAAATGTGTCTATACATAAGTATATCCCAAATATAGAAAGAGACAGTGAAAGAGAGATAGATAGATGTATGTATATAGGGCTGTTAATGCACAAGGGAAAAGTCTAGCTGTCTGTCTGTCTGTCTGGTTAAGCGACTGTCTGGTGGCACGTATACCCTAAACAGAGGACCAACTCTATCTGCCGTGTCGTCTGCTTTTGATGTTGCGCCGTGCGTGCCTCGTGGGCAAGTCAAGTCGTGAGACAACTGGGCCCAGTCTACTACCCTCTGCTGTTGCATTATTTACGCGACGGTTCTTGTTTATTGATGTTTGTCTGTTGTTGCACAGGCGCTGCCTTTGCCATGTTACCTGTGCGCTTTGTGGCTTTCACTCCACCTCGATGCGGTCCAGACCCCAGGACCGTCAACCCCCGTTTGCCGCCACGGCGCTGCGCCGGCGACGACTTGCTTACATATTCATGAGGGTTGCGGTAGCAAAAGTAGCCAAAAAGCAAAAATAAAAGGAAAAACGTAATGTCTTAGTGCGGGCATTGCCAAAAAAATTGCGGTTCAAGTTCGCTGGCTTTGTCGTAACTTGGCCAGCTTTAGAGTCTTACCCTTGTTTATCTGCCAATGCACTTACTCCAGGGAATTCAGGCTTAGACCCACAGAGTGTTGGCCGGGCCATAGCGGGCGCCACTGCAATTTGCAGCTTAAATATGCGGATTTAATTGAGTTTAATTGTATATGAAAGACGAGATTTGTATTTTGATTTTTTGCTTCACTGCACCACTGCTGCCAGCTGGCCACACCGAGCTAAACCACCTACACTCGCCCCATCAGCCCCACTCATTTGCATGGAATTCAATATTTCTTTGCGCCTTCATTACAGTGGATTCTGGTGGAAGTGCAATTTTATCTATTTAAATGCAGAAGAGGAATATAAAAATAGAGAAATGTATACAAAACATTAGCAAAAAGTTAGGTTATGGAAATAAATCGAGAAATATATAAAAAAATATTAACAAAATTTCTTCAGGATTTAATCTAAGCGTGGGTTTATTTATGTATATAATTTATTTACTATAGAGAAAAATACAAATATTTCTTTTTTGTATATTATTATTATTTAATATTATTTTAATATAGTGAAAATAAATTCGTTTTAAGTTATTTAAAAAATAAAATAAAATCTATTCGAAAAACTAGTACATTAACATGTGTAAATAAAATAAAAATTAACACATATTAATTAATAACAAAAAATATAAATAAATAAATAAAAGCATAATAATAATAATATAATAATTAACATATAATAAAATATAATCTTGATCAAATTAATAATGCTTGCCTGATATCTTTTTGTATTATTAAGTAATAATATATAAATGAAGAAATGAAATGAATGATATATAAAACAACAATTTTAATTGTAATATTCTTCACAAAATAAAAATGATAGATATTATTTATATTATTTATATACATCATTTATGCTATACACTCATATATATAAACAAAAACTAAACAGCTATACCACAACAATTTACAATCATCTTTCATCAGTGAACATTTACCCAATTGTCATTCATCATAATGCGTTTCAACATATCGCTGATTCACTGTACCTGCAGCACCCAAACGAGATGCTTCTTTGTGTGTGTGTAAGTGTGCGTGTGTGTGTGGGTGTGCGGCGCAGAAAACAAAGGTCGAGAGCTTATTAAAATTTATATATTTAAATAGCATTTACCGCTAGCCACTCACACCCCATATCGTCGTCTATCAGTGCGTGCCCTCGGGCGGCGCAGATGAAAGTTTCAAGTGCTCCACATGCTCGCCCACATAGCTAGACAAGCCGTACTCGGAATTGACAAAAGGGGTAGTTGGCACACACACACCACGCACACACACACACACACACACACACTCTGGCACATAGACTAGAAAAACAATTTCACGGTTATTCCTGGCAAATATGAAAAGTAAAATGTAATAGCCCCAGTCAGCAGCCCCGCCCCCCTCTATCCGCACAACAACACAACAAATCCTCCCCTCGTAGCAGCAACAACAACAACAACAACAACAAGAGCGTCGCATATCAAGCGGAAACGGAAGTCAGACACTTACATATGCGCGCGTAACTTTACGCCCATCGTCTTTTTAGTTGCTATTTGTTGTTGTTGTTGTTGTTATTGCTGCTGATTTGCTTTTCATTTTTTTTTCGTTTGCTCTCTTTCTCTCTCTCTTTCACTGTGTTTATTGTGGGTTTTGTGGGTCTGTCAGCCCTGCGGCATATTTCAACAGTTGCCAGCCCGTCGTAGTTGCCATTGCCATTGCCATTGCCGCTGCCGTTGCCGTTGCCGCTGCCGCTGCCGTTGCTGTTGTTGTCATAATATTGGCATGCATATATCATTCTGACGGTCTATAAAAATTTCTACACCAAAAGCCGCTGCCAAGGGTTGATTTTTTCGTTGCTGTTGTTGTTGTTGTCAGCACTGTTGCACTTGTCATAAATCGCGAGTGGGCGGGGCGGCGGGGCGGTGGAGCAGGGGCGCTTGGAATAGAAACTGAAAAACTGAAAGTCGAGTGTCGTGTTCGGTATTTCGTTTTTAGAGAATGTAATAAGCCTCAATGGACTATCGCTTATTCTGATCCTAAGTGGTTGATAATAAATTGTTAGTGAGATATTTTCGATGTCATTTCAACTCGAACTCGAGGGGGTTGTTATGCCCAGCTGGAGGGCGGCAATGCAACCAACCCCTTTACACTCGTATCAATACAACTGTCGAACTGGAAGAACAACAAAATACTTTGACAAATCAAATGTCCTCATATCGGGAAATAAACTAAGAGAGGAGAGAGAGTACGAAGAACTTGGTTATTTTTCGCGTCTGCTTATTTATTAAGCACGTCCACGTCGTGGGATTATACGCACAGCCTCACACACACACACACACACACACATGTTCTTAACTCACCTGCAACTCCCTTTGGCAACATTTTTATTAATATTTAATGCAAGTTTCGCAACTTTCGCCCGCCCCCTTGAACTGCCAACCCTCATAAAACGTAACTTTTCGCACAACTGACAACTCAATTCGGCAGCTTTGCCCTGTCGCCCCAACGTCCCAACGTCCCGCCTCCTGCCCAGCACGTGCCAAATATTTGTGTCGCTTGTCGCGGCCCCCGCTCACACTAGTGCATGCAAAATGACGCCAGCCACGCCTTCGTTGGACTCCATTAGACGGAGTTCTTAGTCTGCATAGCTTCATAATGAAAAATTTCCAGCCCCTCAGCTCCAGCTGAAGCCTGACAGACAGGGGTTGGCTGTGATTTGCTGCTGGCGAGGGTAAACGTAGACCCAACTAACGCTCAACGTTACATAAATCATAAATATTTTAAAGTTTCAAATTACCAGTGGCAAAAACAATCAATGCGACACCCCCGCCCGCCCCTGCAAGGAAAGGTTCTGTCACAGATGTCAGCATTTGCAGTGCCCCAGGGCAGGGGCGGCACCAGGGTGGTACCAAGCGCGGGCGGGGCTGGCGTGGAGGCATAGCAAGGCGCAGATTACAATCAACTCTAATCTAATGAGAGCCAGCGAGAGAGTGAACCAAGTTTTGATTGTGGGCAAGGCATTTATAGATTGCGAAATGGATGCAATATAAGAAAGAAATTGGGAGATAAAAGAAATAGCAGGAATATTATTTTGATACAGTTGAAATCGAGATGTAAAGGGAATTGTCATACAATTTTTTTTAACAACATTTAAATTGAGATGTAGATGAAAAATGAATGAATTTAGTTTGAAATATGATGTGAATAAATGAAAATATTGAAGAAATAAATATATATATGTATTTATATAATATATATATATGTATATGTATGAATAAAAAATATATTTTTTAAATTTAAAATAGTTTTAAAAATAAAATAAAAGAATAGAAAATAATAAAATAAATAAAAGTGAAAAGAAAACTGTATACAATATGGGAATATTTATAAATAAATATTCAAAATAAGAATAAAAAAATAAATAAAAGAATAATAAATAAAAATATAGTAATAAATAATTAATTAATTAATTAATAAATAATTAATAAAAAAATATTTAAATAAAACTAAAAATATATAAATGAAAAATAAACAAAATCATTATGCACTGATTTCCCATTTCCAGTGGGTTTAAGGTGTAAGCTTAAAAGAGCAATCAAAATTAATATAACATGGAAATATTTACAATTTTTTAAATGAATTGTGTTGATACAGAAGTTGGCAGTAATTAAGTCAAGCAGCTTATTAAAGCTTATACAAATTAATAATATTTAAACCAAACTTTATATATAATATATGATATTTATTTAATAAAATTTCAAATATCAGCAACTTGTTAGACGAATGCCTTAATATAATAATAGCTCTTTTCTGAACGATTCTCGGAACGAAATTCAATAAAAAGAACTCATATTTTCACCCCCATGTACAACAATTCCTCACAGACCTAAGACATAATATCTGCCTGCTTTTACATCTCTTCTGCTGCCACAATTTGTTATAATTGTTATAGTCCGCTTTAATATACCAGCCTTACCTAATGCATGGCAATAAATATGAGTTTTGTAGTGGCGCTTTTAATGGTCGCCCGAATGCAGTAGCTGCCGCGAATCGCAGGTGAATTG